TAACAGACTGGCTTCTTAGCATGCAAAGTGTTTGACCCCAAAACATAAATAAGTCCTTTGCTCTAAAGAGAAATTGTCCTGTAGGCCTTTGGGAGCCCTGGCTTTCCGGCCCAGTGGAGGGTAGGTGGAGAATTTTGTTCTGGTTTTTGTAAGGGTCTTTTTCACGTTTAGTTTAAATCGTACTCATATGGTTCACTCTCCTGGCCCTACACAGATTCAGAAGATGGGCCTGCAGACAAGCAGCATCAAAAGCTTCGAGGCCCTCACTGAGCTTGTGGCAGCCGCCAGGGACCAGGCAGCAGCTGAGCAGCCCTGAGCGCCCTGGAAGCCTGGGAGGAAGGAAAGTGGCTCTGTCCTCAGCATCACTGACAGCACCCGCTCCCCTCTCAACACGCTTGGGTCTTCCGTCACCCAAAAAGAACAAAACCTTTTCCATTGTATGGAAGATAGTTTTTAAAGACATTTGAAACTTTTTACTATAGTTTACAGAACAGATTATTTTATTTTTATTGTAAATCTTAGTATGAAAGAGCTGATTTCTAAAATAGGACTGAAGTGCATATCCAGGTATGGATAGGAAGCTGTCTTCCAGCCCTGTGGCAGGAGGGGCACCTGGTGCTACAGCCCAGCAAGGAAACATCTCTGCCAGGACGACTGCAGCCCTGGGCTTCCCAGACACCGGTGACGCAGAACCGTACCAAGGATCCTGCTTGCTCATCGCCTGACCTCTGTCATGATCAGAGCTAGTAGGAAAGATTTATTTCCTAAATAAAAGCAGCGTCTGCCACAGGCATATGCCTTTCATCTGTGATTGTCAGCACAGTGAGGTGCACCCATCATTTGCACTCTGTACTAACACAGTCCGTGCCAGAGAAGTGCCTCCTTCAGCAGGACCAGAGGGTCCTGTCCACATAGAACCTTGCTATAGCACGTGGGACCTCTGTCCCATGAAAGAATGACAAGGCATCTTCCACAGAAGCCAGTGGACTCCACCCCACAGGCAGCTCACTCTGACAGGGGAGGCTGGAGTGCTGTGGGAGGCCCCAAGAGTGGAGTTGGTTTACTCGCACATATAGTGCCTAGCCAGCACATCCTTCAATCCAGGCTTCCCCCATCAGAGACCTGGAAATCCCCTGTGCCCTCCACTTCACTGTTCTTGCCTCTTGTGAAGCCCGAGGAACATAGTTTATTAGACCCCCAACTCTAGCATCATTTCCATCGTACAAATACAGTGGACCATAAAGCAGGCAGGAGTGTCCCAGGCCCACCCTGCAGCATCCTGCAGCCCTCCCTCTCTCTCTCCCTGGTGCCAGCATCCATATAGATGCCAGTGGTCGAGAATGGGCCCAGGTGCTGCCAGTGGTCCAGAATGGCCCCAGGCTGGGGCCTGGGGCTGATGTGGTCACAGCACTGCTTTCTGAGTCCCCACAAGGGTGGCATAGCCTCACTGTCATGGTATCTGCTTCTGGCTGCAGATACAATCTTCTAAGTTTGGGAATGCTTATCTGTGGCTTTCCCCAGAACAGCTCTCCTTTTTCTGATTCGATTTTAATAGCTTTGCTTTAAAGAATCACCAAGTGAATCTTAAAGTAGTATAGTACTTTCTGCTGTAAAAGAGTACTTGTTTTCAACATTAACATATGGACAAAATGGTCGCAGGTACCAGTTCATTTCTTGTTGGTGTACCAGACATGGGGGCAGCCAGGAAGTCACATGGGGACCCTAGCTTCTTGGAAGTCTACCATTTCCATCCTGCTTCTAGGTTCACCCTGGGGCCACCTGTGTTTCCTTCCTGTGTGGGCAGATTAACTACCCTGGAACGTGTCCTCGCAGTTCTGAAAACAGAAGTGCACAGGTGCTCTGCCTCCAGTCTGCCTCCACTCCACATGGCCTCCTGGGATTTCTGACACTTCAGGACGCCTGTCTGAATCCATACAGGGTTTGGGACCCATGCAGTCCATCCAGAGTGATCTCACCAGCAGATCCCTGACCTGATTATGCCACAGAGCCCTTTGCCCAGCGCAGGCCTACGCTGAGGTTCCAGGGCTTGGACATGATGTGTCTTGGAAACAGCCATCCAGCCCACCTGCTCTCCACTTATCTGACTAGGGTGGAAGAAGAATTGAAGCAGCCCACAAAGTGACTGTGGCCCAGCTTGGGTGACATGTAGCATTCCCAACCTCCAGTGTCTGCAGTTCAGTCTTGGGGATTGAGAACAAGTCCAGCTATGGGTCCCGGGAAAGATGAGAAAGTGAATTTGGAGTGGCTTCGTATATTCGCACGTATCCCACCTGCTCCGTGCAGTTGGCCAGAGGGCTGGGGTGACCCTGGGATGCAAGGCAGTGCTGAATGCACCACTGTGCCCCTCTGAAGCCTGCCATGAAGCTCCAGTACTAGGTTGCATGTGAGTTGTCCCTGGCCGTGGTCTAGGTCTCTTGCCAAAATCTCAGCCTCAAAGTGGCTGTCGTTGCTGAATAGTCACCTTGTCACTCCAGGAAGACTTAGAATTTAGTAAAGAAATGTCTTGGAGAAGCAGACCCCTAGATGTAATACTTTCATGTTAAATTTTAACACAAACCTGCAATGTTTTGGTGTTCTGTGCCCTCACATTGTTCCTGATATAACATCCCACTTACAGGGGCACAGTGCGCAGCCCAAGAAGAATCTGGCAGCACAGTGCTCTGGCATTCTCCCCTCAGGTTGAAGAGTCAGCTGCCCACTGCCTTTCCAAATAAATACAGATCCTCTGGGCACACTCTTGTAATCCCAGCTCTCTGAGGCTGAGGCAGAAGGAGCACAGGTTCAAGCCATCTTCCAAAGCCTTAGCGGCTTAGCAAGACTGTCCCAAAATAAAAATAGGTTTGGGGATGTAGCTTAATGTGAAGGCCCTGGGTTCAATCTCATCTCTCTCTCTCCCTCCCTCCCTCTCTCTCTCTCACACACACACCACAGATCTTTGGCTCCCTGGCCACAGCAGCTGTCTGGAGTTACTGGGGTAACTACAAAGTCATAGTTCTCATTCCAGGACCACCCTGGTAACGACTCTAGGACCAACTAGAGTAGATGACTCTCAGTTCACTATTGAGCCCCAGTGCTGGCGCTCAAGTGTTTAAGTAGAAGCAGTATGCTGGGAAATTGGAAATTGGAAAGAGGAGCTCAGAAATGGTCAGCCCGCTCTTAGACAGACTCCACCCACAGGGGCTGTAGAAAGCGAGTTTGGAGATGTGTCGTCTACCGAGAGTTTAAAGCAAGTGGAGCCCCATTGGCTGTAACCCTTCCAGAAGGCTGTGCAACCAGAAGGCTGTGGGTAGAGCAGATTTTGTGTACTATTTAATGTGGCACAACTTGATGCTGACATGTTCCTAGGCCTCCTGTCAGAATACAGATTCTGGGTCAGAATGCCTGAGACCTTCCCTTCTACCGAACACAGGGCTGCCCTCCTGTGACCCAGGGCCTCTCTGTGAGTAGTGGTCCCCGTGCTTCAACCCTGTCAAGACACAACACCTGCAACCATTTAGAGTGCCTGGGTAGTGGCACCCACCCCAGCCTGGCCCTTAGAGGACAAGAGGGAGATAAGCCCTATAGACCTGGGGACAGTGGGTCATGGTGAGGGACAATAGACCTTGTGGCGGTGGCAGGACCCCGGCCCACACAAACAGTGGGGACTCTGGTTGCCTGCATTTGTCAGGCACGTGGAGAAGACAACAGGATCCTTGGGCCACAGCTAGTGTCCCAAGCCAAGCCAGTGGTGGGACTGCACGCCCCACCACCAGCTACAGGCAGTTAGGAAGACTGAGCACCCTGGCCAGCTCTTCCACTGGAGGAAGGGACAGGCCTCAAGAGGAAGAGTGTGGCACATCCTTGGTGCTGCTGACAGAGCAGGAAGGAGGGTGCCAGGCCCCAAAAGCAGAGTCTCATCCCCAGCTTTAAACAGGCACAGGGCCACATGTACCCCCAAGGGTGGCCGATTCATGCCCCCCCATGCCAGCCCTGTGCATACCTGGTCAGTGTCCCCATAAAGGGGGCTGAAAGCTCTGTGGGGTGGCCTGGGGACACCAAGGGTGGAGGGGGAGCCGCAGGTGCACAGGGAGTTTTGGCAGGAAGTCACCACAAGCTCAGTGGCTTAAGATAGTTGAGACATAAGCCTTCCAGGGCTGAAGTCCAAGGGACTCCCTGGGTGTGGGCAAAGGACTTGAGGGAGGACCGCCCCTCCCCTGTCTTCTGATTGTTGGCCTATATCCTCAACTAGCACTTGTCTTCTCTCCTATTGTGGTTTGTATCCCCCAGGTGTTCCCCTAGATGTCCCCCAAGAGCGGCGTGGGGTCATAGGTGGGGTTTTTCAGAGGTGACTGAATCTAGAGTGTGATGCAGGGATCAAGGGTATGTGGTTGCTAAGTTAGCACTGATTGGTTTGGCACAGTGGGGTGGATATGGGCGTGGTCATGGGAAGCCCTCCCTGGATGTGAGTACTACCTGCCCTGAACAGAATATAAAGGACAAAGAGAGCTGCTGTGGTTACTATTTGCTTGCTACTTGCTACTTTGCTGCTTTGCTGCCTTCTGCCTGCCATGAACTGTTTCTTCTCTGTGATGCCCCTCTGCCATGCTGTCCTGCCTCAGAGCCAGCTGATTATGGTCTGAAATCTCTACAAACTGAGCCAAATCTTTCCTCCTTTAGCTGGGTGTCCGGTATTTTGTCTCAACAATGGGAAAAGTAACTAAGATGTCTCCCATCTGCCATTATACCATCGTTAGTCACTGTTTTCAGCGCTTGCCCTGCATTCCTCTTATAAGGACATTTGTGATTAGGCCCACCCACATAACCCAGTATTGTCCTCACTTCTAGAGCTATACTCCTGTCTTCAAACCCCTTTGTCACATAAGGGACCAGGACAGGTTGTAGGGGTCAGGGCCTTCACAGTGGCCTCAGCATGGCAGTGCATACCCCCATTCTGCCATCCTTACACAGAACAGGACTTCCCAACATTGGGCGCTGTGACATCTTTTAGTAGTGGTTAATTTATTGATTGTATCCATCTCAGCATTTTCTCTTTTACACATCAGGGCAGTCAAGCCTGGAGAGGCTGAGGACCTGGCCCCTGGTCACACAGCAGTACATAGGGTGGATCCACATCTGGACCCAGGACCTGCCCTATGCTTCTAGGTCAGACTGGGCCACACCCACAGGGCAGAGAGGACAAGCTGTCTCAGTGAATCAGAGCCAGTGAGGAACATCCAAGGATAGGGAAGGCCCTGGGGAGAAGCTGAAATTCTGAGGACGGTCAAGAGGGGGCAGTATATGTCCTCACAGCTGCTGGGGTCCACACTGGCCCCAGGCAGTTCCAAGGGGGGCACAGTCGGCATGCCTGTGTGGTGGCGCATGGCAGGCAGGGCCCACACTCTAGTTGAAGCCAGGGAGGCTACACATATGTGGTGGCCTGGGATCCCCGTGTGGGAGCCTCGGCCTGGCTCTGCCCAGCGACCAGCATGCTGCACTGCTCACCCACTCCAGCATGTGTGTCAGGAGGAAGGCAGAGCACATGACACTCAGGAGGAAGCATAGCCTGTCACTGTGGCAGCCAGGTGCCCTCCCCTCAGCTCATCCCAGAATTAGAGGCTGTGGGTCTAACCCCATCAATTGGAACAGGCAGACACCAGCAAAAGGAAAGGCAAATATGTGTCTATGAAGCTTGTCCTCTCTCCCCCACCTCCTGCATCATATGAAGCGCTCTCAGACCCATGTCCTGGGTGGAGGATGTCCTCGTTCCCATCTCTCTCCTGGGTCTCTGTGTGGACAAGATCCACAAGATCCACCTGGCCATCCACAGATGATCGTGCCCATCAGAGCAGAGATGGCCAGGAAGCTCTGCAAGGATGACCAAGTGCTGGTCCGGCTCTCCAGAAGCCCAGCAAGGGCCTTGAGAGTGCTCTGTCAGCTGAGTGGCACATCTCTGTGTTGCTAAGAATCCTCTTACTGTTACATTTGTTAACCACACGGGGGTAATCACCCATGGTACATTCTAGAGATGTCTTAGTTACATTCTAGCTAAATTCAGATGCCTGCGTCTTTTGTCTTTTTCAAAAATCACAGGAAAGATAAACATTATTTTGGAAATCCCGTGAGGGTCATGGTCACACTCAATGAGCTAAATATAAACCCAAGGGAATAAAACAAAATGTGTGTTTTAATTTTAAAACCCAATCAAAAGCAAACTCTTTCTAGTTTCACAAACAGGTTGGTCATTTCCCATTCTTTCCCGAACAACGGGCCTGTGCTAACTACCAGCTTCTGGCTCGCACCCCCACCCGCCAAGCAGCCTGGCTTGGGAGGCTGATTCTGTTGCTCGTTATTCACAGCACTGTGTACAGAGGACTGCTGTCACCCAGCATTACTCTGGGAAGGAAAGGAGGAGGACCAGGGGTGATAGTCACTGACACGGCAGGGGGCTCTGCTGCCAGCTTTGTCCCACATCCAGCAAGCGGCCCCATAGGGCACCCTCCCTGATCTCACGCCACACTCAGGGGGTTGTCCACACGGCCCAGGAAGTGCAGGGCGCCTGCCTCCCTCTCGTAGACAGCGAACAGGAAGGGGCTGCTGAGGGTCACTTCCAAGGCCTCAGGCGTGCTTGGCTGGAGGGTAGACTCCGTGGGATGCTTCCTATCATCCGCTTTGAGTTCAAAAAGGACGCCATTCAGCACCTGTAAAGCAGTGGACATTTGCCTGTCTCCCAAGGGCTGTAGGGCTTCACCCACACGGAGGGCATGGGACAGCTCATCCCTGGAGGAGAACCTGTTCCACCTGCCCAGAAGACATGCTTCATGTGGGCACTGAACACCCCATGCCTAATCACATACATCTCTACCTGCCACCCTACTGACCCTGGGAGTTTTGCCTTTCTCTGCTGCAGCTAACCCTGTGCAGAGGACCCATGTCCTGGAAGTGACCTGCTCTCTACAGCACACACTCAGTGCCTGGGATGTGCAGGGCATCCTTGGCACTGCAGACAGGCCTTGTTTTCAGTGCTGGTGATACAGTGTCTCCAGCGAGCCAGAGGACAGGGCACTGACCGGGGCACTGGCACCCTCCTCATCCTGGCCCAGCTCTGCCACAGGACCCAGGAGACTCAGGCCAAGCAGGCTGACAGGTCAGGGCTGCACCACAGTAGGTAGTGGAGTGAACCCGGCAGGGTACTGCTTTTCCCTGTCCCCACTGTCTTCAGCCCTGCTGGCCCAACCCACCCCTCCCATTGGACACGTGAGCCCGGTCCCCACCGACCTCTCCCAGTGTCAGGTTGGTGTCACTGATCCCATCTAGGTTGGCGTTAGTATCCAGCAAGGTGGCCAGCTTGGCCCGGGCCAGCAGCTCCTGCAGGTCATAGGATGCTCTCAGCTCCAACTGGGGCAAGGTCAGACGCATAGCCCTGGGGGATGACATGGTTAGAGGTCCTGGAAATCACATCTACTGCAAGGATCTGGGGCCCACAGCCAGGGCCCCCTGCACTGTCCCTAAAGAAGGGGTGTCCAGCCCCTCATACAGCCAAACATCCTCACCCTTGAGAAAAACCTTAGCACCAAACAGTGGAACCTTCAGGTTGTTTGAAATAGTACCAGAATGACTAGGAACCTCTGCTGCTGGAGACTTCGCTGACTGTGAACAACTGGCTGCTCTCTCTCCCCAAGTATTCTTGTGCTGGCTGCACGTCGGGTGGTTCCGAAAAGAGCTAAGAAGGACCACTGTCTAAAGTCAAGAGAGGTGTTACACTGGCTGTCTCCAGGGCTCTTGGAATAGAGATGGGTTGAGGAAGGGATGACGGCAACAGCCTGTGTGGCATGTTGTCACATAGTGTGCATGCAGAGGTGGTGGATGCACAAAGCGTGTGTGCACACATGGGTGTTGGGCAACTGTGAAGAGGAGGGGAGCTCGCGTGGGACAGCTCTGCTGAACCCTGAAGACACAGGGTCAGCGGCTGCAGCAAATACTGAGTGGGGCAGGAGCAGGGAATGGGGAGCCTGGGCATAATGAAGTTCTGTTCCACAAAATGAGAACATTCTGGAGGTGGACAGTGGTGACGGTGGCACTGTGACTACACTTAATGCCACCTCTCTGAACGCTTTGAGAACTCAAAGTTGACATCAGGATGCCACCTATATCTTGGGAGCAGGCTGCGGTCCACCAGTCTGGATCTGACGTGCAGGCTGAGGGCAGTGCTCTGGAAGGGACCATGCTCTTGTCACTGCAGGAGCAGAGCCAGCACTGCCCGTGCCCCTATTGGCCTCACACAACCAGCTCTGGTTCAGGGGCAGCTCCTACAAGAAGTCGCCAGTCTCACAGGAGCGCACAGCCCCCTACAACGTATTCCAAGATGCTCTGGGTGCCTTGGATCTGTTCTGTGTGGGTGTGGGACCAGGGCAGGTTGGGGTGTTTCTGTCCCTGCAAAACCGGGGTGCAAATACTGCCTGTGAGAAGTATACTTCCCCTCCTATGCCAGCACTTGATAGTGCATTGGAGACACAACTGAGACCATCCAGCCCAGCCAGCCAGGTGGTGCCAGAGCCGCTCCGCCTAGGGTAGAGGGCCAGCACAGTACCACAGCTTTCCAGTGGAGCAGGGGTTCCTACCGGGGAGACAGGTTATTTATCTGTGCCAGGAAGTCGTGGTTGAAGGTGAGGGCCACAACTCGGTCCAGGTTGGAGGTGCAGTGGGGCTGGATCAGCAGCAAGGCGGCGCTCTTGCCCATGGGCACACGCGTCACGGAGAAGTTGTTCTGTGTGTCGCTCCAGTGATAGAAGGTGCCGGAACCCGACATCATAGGGACAGACACCGAAGTACTGTTGTCCACCCAGAACATCTGAGGCTCAGCCAGCAAGGAAAAGCCCTTCATCCTCCCTGAAACCAGACAAAGCCGGAGGGGGCGGGGAGGTCAGTGGGCAGCAGGCCAGGGAAAGGGCAGTTAGGCAGGCTACGGCGGGCCACTCCGACCTACTCCCATCTCAGCCCCTTCCCTGCCTGCTGGGTCAGCTTTGTCCTGGCCACAGACAATGCCTGTCCAGAGCCCTGTGTGGTCCAGCCACCGAGTTCACCACAGCACTCAGCCACTGCTGAAGACCTGCTGGGCCACCCCCCAGACCTGAGCTTGTGATGCCACCTCAAGACTGAGCCGTACCACCTGCCTACATCACTCCAAACCCAGGTCTCCCCTGCTCCCAAGCTTCTAGTTTGCCATACTCATTATTATTTTTTTAAATAGACATTTTTAAAGTGCTGTGTTAGGTTCACAACATTGAGCAGAAAAAGTGCAGAAATTTTTCATATAACTCCCGCCTGCCACCATCAACATCTTACACCACACCAGTCTGTTTGCTATGACTCTGTGTGTGTGTATGCGTGTGTGTGGTGCTGGGGCTGAAGCTCAGGGCCTTGCACATGCCAGGTAAGCACTTACCACTGAGACGCACTCCTGGCCTCCAGATTTGTTACACCTGAGTCTACATGGTCATTCGCTGTCACCCAAAGCCCTCAGTTCACACAGGGGCTCGCTCATGGTATTGGGCACACTGCGCAGCTGGATAATATGCAACAACGTGTGTCTACCACTGTGGTACCACACATGGTCATCTCACCGCTTTAAGGACCCCTGTCCACGTCCGGCTGTGACAGACCCTCAGCAGTCCTCAGTCCCAGGTCCCCACCCTCCTCCCAAAGTTGTGGATCAAGCCAGCACCCAGGGTTCAGAATGAAGGCATCACTTCTCAGCATCCCTGGACATGAGTGACAGCATGAAGAGACATACAACCCTGCTGTGACCCCAGACCTGAGCGTGGGCCTTGTGCCGGGCCCACACACACACAGGCTGATGAGGTGGAGAGCCAGGAGCCTGCAATTCAGGCTGAGCTGACCCGCTCGGTTGCACAGAGGACAGCTGTTAGTGTGGGGTCTCTCTGCCCCCCAGTCCTGCCCTGACCTTATTCCTGCACACTCACTCATGCTGGAAGGGATCGTTGTGTGAAGAGGGGTTGACCAGTGATTGACTCCAGAGGGGGCTCAGAGGGCAGGTTCCTGCGGTCCTGAGTCAGGTCCCCAAGCTGAAGGTGGGGTCACTAGGAGTGGATGTGGGTCCTGGCAAGAAGAGGCTGGATAAAGCCCTTACTGGGGCCCAGGTCTTGTGGAGGTAGAAGGGCATGGTCCTCCATCCTCAGAGCCCTGGGGAGACAAGAGCCACTCCCAATGGCCATGTGAGAAAGAACCTGGGTGTCCCTCACCCTGTTCCCAGGGAACCTCAGCAGAGGCTTTTTATTTTAAAAAGGAAAGGCCTGGACTTTCTCCCCCAGCTAGTGAAACAAAAACAGGATGTGCCGAGAGATGCTGGACTTTGTCATGCGGATGGCGCCCTCTTGTCCCTGTCTGACCCTGACTTGCCAGCCCCATCCAGAGGTTAAGCCAATCCCTGTGGTTCACCCCAGCTGGTGCCTTGGAGCCTGCCAAGCCCAGGGGGCACCGAGTACTGGCAAAGGGCACCTGTGGCCTCGGCCCAACACCCTGAGTCACACACACCCTGCTGAGGAGGCCCACAGCTCCTAAGACAGCCTGCTCATCTACAGAAGGACAAACTGGCACAGGAGGATCTCCATCTGATGAGAACTGAGACCCGAAGGTCAGCACAGAAGGTGGGGGTAGGCAGCTGCCTAGTGCTCTGAGTCTGACTTCCTCTTCCTCTTCTTCACTTCCTTCCTCTTCCTCTTCTCCAGCTCTGCTTCCTCTCCAGCCTGGACTGTGAGGTTGGACCTGCTTCCCAGGTGAGACTCCCTTCCTAACTCCAGAGGCTGTCTTGCCTGCACCGCTGGGGACCACTCTTTCTCAAGGAGTCTTGAGGACGGCAGGCTCATCCCCCAGTTCCCCTCTGCCCTGCACAGGGTGGGCCTCCCTCTGCCCGCAGGATGGTACCTGACATCTACCCCAGCCTATTCATTCCTGGCTCCCAAAAGCAGACACAAGGTCTTTGCAGAGACTCGAGGATATTATCATGGTGGGAAATCATCAGGCACAACCCACTTTGCTCTATCCCTATTGGGGTAGAGTCCAGTGGCTGCCTGGGTGGCACTCCGACCACCAGATGTACTTCTTTCTGCTGAACCTTGTCAACACTCCCCTCCCCAGCAAGCCACCTATCAAATTACAGATCCGGTGCACATCCCTGTGACCTTGTGCCCGGGCTGTCGCATGCATGACCTTTGGATGTCCGCCCTGCCTACACATGGTCCCCGCTGCGGGCTGCAGGGATGGTTCCGAGCAGGACTCCCCTCTTCGGTTCCCCCCAGGCTCAAACTCCCTCCTTGCCACAACACAAGCAGATTCATCCTGTGCTCTGGCTGAGCCAGCTGCTCCATCCTCACTTCCACCCTGACCCCACAGCCTTTCCTCAGATGATCCACTTTGCTTCTCCCTGGGCCCTTCAAGCTCCCCTGCCCCCTGTTCTGTAGTGGCCTTTATTTTCTGAGCTCTTTCACTGCCCTTGGAGTCACTCCTTGCTTGTCTTTAACTGTGACCTTGGCTAGGGCCTGCTCACCCTTCCTCTTGCCCGTCAGAGATCTCTCCAGCTCAGTGTGACACACAGGAGAACTCATTGCATGAATAAGCAGTCTTTAGAGCAGGGATGTTCTAGTGAGACCCATCCTGATGAGAAAGCAATACAACCTAGGCAAGCACCCACCCCTGAGCACACCGTAGTCCACAAACTGGTTGTTTCTGCGTGGGCCGGCAGCCCTGGTCCTGGCATGGAGCTGGCTGTGGGCAGGGGATATAAGCTGATCCCAGGAACCTGCTTGGGGCCGTACTCTCCTGAGCAAGACTCTTGTTCCTCTGAGCCTCCATTGCTTCACCAGTAAACAGAAGCACAAAATAGCTTTCCCTCTTCAGAGGGGATTAAATGATGAAAGCAGAGGATCGCCCCAGGAGTCACATGTACTAGGCAGTGGATGGGTGGGTGAGTGGGACCCAAGGACCTGCCAGGCAGTCTCCTCCCACCTCCTCCGGGGAAGCCTCCAACTCCTTCCACATGGCTGCTGCTCCCATCCCCATGGTCTGGCCTCTTGGTGCAGCCCACACTCTGGACACTGAAGTCACAGGTCCCAGGATCACCACCCTTGGGCACCAGGCAGGGCCAGGCTGCCTGGGGGCTATCCTTACCTTGGAAGTGGACATAGGTGTTGAACAACAGGGTGTTGCCTGGGCTGACCTTTGCGAGAGGTCCACCCATCTTCCACCCTGTCACAGCCTGCAGGAACGTGTTGATCTTCTCAGCCACAAGATCTGGGTCAGTGGACAAGTCCAGAGAGCGTGGGAGGACGACAGGGGCGAAAGGAGCCAGACTCCGCACAAACGGCTGCTTCAGGCGCAGGTCAGGTGTTGTGAACAGGGCCACCACAGTGGACAGCAACATCTGTGCCTGGCCACTGGTCCTGTCCTGGGCTACCAGGAGGCCCTGAATGGCTTGTAGGGCAGAGAGAACCTTGTGCCCATCCAGCCGGGAGGTGCAGCCCTGGGCCTGCATGGGGACGCCCAGGAGTGCCTGCAGTTGGCTGGCTGTGGGATCCCGGGCACCCAGGTAGAGAGAGGCCAGGGTACCAAAGAGAGCCGTCGGGGAGAGGATGGCCCCGCTGGCTGTGCTCCCCACCTCACTCAGAGTCTTGTACATGCGGAAGCCCAGGAAGTTGGACATCATCCCAACCTGAATGGCCCGCAGCAAGTCTTCAGGTGCGAGCTGCTGAACGGCCAGCACCAGCTCCTCATGTAGGGCAACCTCATCCACAGGGGAGGTCTTGTCCTGCACAGGGGCAGGAGTGAGGGTCGGCTCCTTGGGTGTCTCCACATTGGACTTCTCCAACTGGATACAGCTGCTCTTGGGGTAGACGAGGAGGTGGAAGGGGTGGATGTACACCCGATCAGCAGCAGCCAGGCCAGCCCAGGCCAGGAGGCAAAGGATGGTGGCCTTGAAGCCCACACTGGTGAGAATCATCTCTGTACCCTGAAAAACACTGTGTGGGGAAAGGTGGTTATTCAGTCACCTCCACTCAGACTGTTGGCCATCCCAGCAGCCAAATAGACCTGGAGAAATCTGCCCATGACTATGGGTATTACAGAGTCATGCCTTTTTTTTTTTGTACTGGGAATAGAACTTAGCACCTTGCACTTGTCAGGCAGTCTACAGGTATTATTAAGCAGCAAAATGGACTCAGACCTACATGGAAAGTATCTACACAGTTCAAGGGCAAAATACACCATTACAGGCTGAGCTGTGCCCTGAGGATTTGTATGCTAGAGCTCACACCCCAGGACCTGAGTCTATGCTTGGAGACTTGGTGATTGAGTTAAAGTGAGGTCCTTACAGTGAAATTTGACCTGATCTACCTGGTGTCTATAATAGAAAGAGGAGATCAGGACATAGACACACACAGGGCTGGTACAGAGAAAAGACACCATCTGCAAACCAAGGGACCAGCCCTAGCCACACTTTGACCTTAGGCGTTTGTGCTCCAGGGTGGAAAACCATACATTCTGTACTGAATACCCAAGCTATTGCACTCATTACCACAGCCCTGGCAGGCTAAGTCACACCCATGACAATGACAGTGACTTCTTCCCTAGAGGACCTGGTGCATGCAATTCATCCAGATACTCGAGGACCCCCCTCCCTACTCCATGATAATCTAATGGCCCTGGAACAGGGTCGAGAGTCCTCAGGTCTTGACATGAAGCCGGGGTTGAGCACTGTGGGCTAACCCAAGGCCAGCCCTTTCCCTGTCATCTCAAGCTCCAGACCAGCTCTCAGCTATACCCTAGCAGCCCCTGGGGGGCTGCAGGACTGTCTTCCCAGTCTGCCCAGCCCTGACAGTCACAGTTGGCCTCGATGGTCTGTGCAGGGCAGGAACAGACCTGTTAACTTCTCAGGTCACTGCCAGGCACAGCCGGATTTCAGTGTCCCCAGCCTCGTGAGCCCTAGCTCCTGACCCTCCAGCCCGTGACCCTGCTCCATCCGTGACCGTAGTAGACAGTGCACAGCAGCTAGCCTGAGCCTGGTGCCCAGTGCTAGGCAGGGCTTTCTTGGAGGGCTGGCATCCCAGCCCTGAGTCAAGGCCACCTTGACCTCTGGCTTACCTTGCCTTGCCTGTGTCTGCCCAGTCCTCCCTCTTCCACTGGCCTGTGGCTTGGATGACTGTCCCCCAAAGGCCCACTGGCTAGAGGCCAGGTCCCCAGCACAGTGCTGGTAGGAGGTGGTGGAGCTGCTAGGAGGAGGGGTCTTGTTTTGCTGACCATATGCCCCTCTCATTGCCTCCCACACCTCCACAGAGAAACAATAATGAGTCCACCAGCACTCACACTGGAAATTCCACATCCACGCGGCAACATGAAACTTTCCTCTTTGTACATTAATTTATCCGACTTTCCTACAGTGATTTGAGGCTGGTTGAAGTGCAGGACCCTGAACCTCACACTCAGCTCAGGAAACCCTCGTCTGCCCCTGAAACGGCAGAATTTCAAAGTATGCTGTGTTCTGCTCTGGTCACCCAGCCACCGGGAGAACTTTGACTTCTGACCAGACACTGCCTCACCTGCCTCTGACTCAGCCCACAGTTCCCCCCGGAAGCCACTAGGCATGGGAAAGCGGTGCTCCCTACAAGAGATACCTGCAGTATTGTGCTGATGTAAGGCAAGTCAGGCGGGACCCTCAGGGGCTGTGGCGGCCAGGATCTGCTCACCAGTGCCCACAGCCTGTGAGACACCAGTGGACACTACACCCCGAGTTGGCAGTGCTAAAGAGGGGTGCTGTCACTTGGATGTTGTTACGGCCATTGTCATTGGGAAGACTGTCAAAGCCACTGCTGTGGGGAGGACTGCTGGGACGCTTGATGGTGCCACTGTCACAGGGAACAATGTCACGGGCACTGTGGAGGGACAGGATCAGAGGTGTTCTTAGGCACAGACAGCTCTTTGCTCTCCACTGAGATCTGCTGCCCAAGCTTGTCTTTTATGGGTTCCCACAGTGTCCTGAGGACAAAGGGGCTGATGCCTGGTCTCTCTTGTGCCCTGGTCCCATGGCTCCTGTCACACTGCCCACCGTGGGCAGACACTTCTCAGCACTGTCCTGTGTGAACATCCTGTCCCCAGCATGCCCTCCCCCTCCTCAGTACACCCCACACTCCCCTACACACAGAGCACTCCCGCCTCCTATCCCTCCTCACTGGAACCCGGTATTTATTCTGTACCTCAATGTCTGCTCCCCCGCACGAGAGAGCAGACTCAGTGAGTGTGGTCCCCTCCCCTAGCAAGCAAGGTCTACATCCCCAAGATGGTTCTAGACACAAGTCCCAACAAGGAATTGTCTGTCAGGTGAACTCATTAATACTGTGTCATGGAGGAACAGAGAGGCCTGGTGACTTGCTGCAGGTCACAGAGCTATAAGAGACAGAACTAGAGCTCAGACGGAGAGCCGGGAATCTGTAGGTAGAGTGTCAGCACCAACTTATGTTGCCTCTTGGCAAAGTAAATACCTGCCTTGTTGGTGCCTGGAAAGCACTTCTAGCCCTGGAGCCTGGGGTGGTTTGGGGCCCAGGTAACAGAGAAGCACGTTTTAATGTTGGGACACAGTGAAAATCCAGATCACCCTGACCTGGCATTGAGTCTAGAACCAGAGACACCACCTGAGGGTCACAGGTGTATGTCCCTGAGCCCTGGGTGATCCCCAGGACCCCACATCCCCACCAGTCCTGTGACCCACACAGCAAAGACTTGTTCTTCCCGGGGACTGAAAGAGGCCCCAGGGCTCTCGGCCAGGGCGATGCTGGCCCCAGGCCATTCTCTTGGCCATCAGGGCCCAGCTCTGTCAGGAAGCAGGAGGATCTGGCCACCTTGCCCTGTGCCTGAGGGACAGGAGACCCTGGCAAGGACAGCCTTGCAGGGAAAGGCATCTCGGTGACCTGGTCTCCTGTGGTGGTGGTCGTCACCCATCCCTGGCTCCATGATACGAATAAAGGCTGAATGCCATTTAGCAGCCCCTGCTGCAGCCCCCACCCTGTTGTTCCTCTCTGTTCCTCAACTCTGCTACAGCAGGGAATCTCGGGGAAGGAGCCCAGGGCTCCACTCACCTCCTGCTCTATCCTGGACAGAGGAGCGCAGCTCTTCCCTGGCTGGCTGTGCAGTCCCCATTTATACCCAAGGGGTGGGGATGGAGCCGTTCCCAGCCACTCTGTACACAGGCTGGGGGGTGGCGGGGAGGACGGACCGGGACAGGGGCCTGGCTGCCCTGCTTGGCTAGAATTAAGTCAGGCTGGGCCCCTTCCAGGAAGGCCTAAAATCAATGCAGTTCTGCTGCTAAACAGACAAATTGGTAAGGGGTCCAGTTACATATTTACCCAAGTTTGTCAGAGGTGGGGCCACTCTTACCGACCCGGCCAGGTTGTGACAGCCTGTGGCCTGCCATCCAGACCTTCTCACCAAACCCGTCATGACGCGCTTCTGAGAGGCCACAGGATGTGCGGGAAAGGGGGCTGGGGCAGGGCAAGGGCCATGTTCAGGCGCCCTGGGGCTGCTATGACCATGCTGCTTAATTACAGGTTCCAGTTAGGGTTTAAAATGACCTTGACCTTAAGTAGGCGCCATGAAGCTTGCACTTGGCACCTACTCCACCCAAGAGCCTCTTTGGAGATGCAGGAGCAAGTGGCAAGCATTTTCTAGAAGCTTCCTGTACAGCCGGAGGCTGAGAACGCCAACAAGTGGGCAACCAGTTCAGAAATCAGAAGACAGAACGAACCAGCCAGCCTGGGAGGTTCCAGAGAGTCTGCCCTCAAGTTGCAGAAGGTGGAGGCAGACACAGAAGAAGGGCTTTGGAGAGAGGCTCTCGTGACACCGACAAAGAAGTGGGGATGTGAGGCAGGTGGGAACACACAGGCCCACGTCCTGGCAAGGAGGGCCGTGGGAGCAAAGACTGGGCGAAATGCAGCTGTGTCACCATGCATATCAGCAAGCTCACATGCCCACGACATCTTTCTTACCAACTTAGATGACCCCCAGCCTCAGGCCAAATGTTCCAGGAGTTGGGTGGACAAAGGAAAGCTGTTCCCACTGCAGACCCAGGGTGGAGAAGAATGGGGGAGTCGGATCACAGGAGCCTGAATTTCACACTCAGGGGGAGAAATTGATGCCACCAAGAGAGGGATGGGGGCCATCAGAGCCACGGGCAGAGGGCAGAACATGATGCTGGAGTCTGGTGCAATAGCAACTCTGAGTGGCAGGCAAGACCAGCTGGAGGAAGGAGGCCAAAGATGGAGTTGTCACAGTTACAGGCTCAGGGGACTGAGAAGAATGGAGCTAGCGCACAGGGAGGGGCTGCAGAAGAGGAGCCAGACTCTTGGGAAGGGTGAAAGTCTTGCTGTGGGCAAGGTGAGCACTCTGCGTTGGGGAGGTGGCTGTGATGCACAGGAGGGAGATCTGGGCTGAGACACGCCAAGGAGACACATATCCGGTCGGTCCCATCCCCCACTCAAAAACCTGAAGCCCTGTAGCTGCCTGAGTCTCAGGTGGCAAAACATCCGTCCTCCAGGACTTGTTCTTAGTCCTCAGCTCTTGACCCCAGAGCTTTCGAGACCTCTGGATTCCTCAAAGTACTGACTGTCCTTTTGTTCTTCATGAGATTCTTGAAGTAAAGTTGGGATGGAGCCAGTGGCTAGCAGAGCAGCCATGGGATCAGAGGTCACCCTCCAGCCCTGACCCCTGCTCTGGGGTTGACATCATTAATCATGCCTTTGGATCTGGGCTTCAAGAATGGGCTAAACAGTGGGGCTCAAGATCGTCCATGTGGTGGACACATCCCTGCATGGGTGAAGGATGCTCCTGATTCCATGGAGACTCCAAAAGTCTCCTTGCTGGGACCTTTCTGCCTCTTCACCTGCTCATATACCTCTCGTGACAAACCAGCAAATGAAGATGAATGACTATAAGTCAGTCTAGAAAATCCACATGAGAGGGCCCTGGGAGCCTCTGACATGTCACCAAGCTGGACAGCATTGTGGGTGATCTTGGAACCACTGCCCTGCCTCTTCTTTGGGGATCTGTGAGCACGAGCCTAATGCATGGCAGTCCTGCTTGACTGTGTGTCTCCCACCCCTGATTAAAACAGATCCCAGGGACGCTTCCAGCCCACCACCTGAAGGCAGCTCAGAGGTGACAGGTTTCTGAGGAGACCCATGTGAGGGCCATACAGCCTCCCCCAGCTCTTCTGGCTCTTCCTACAGTCCCTGAGGTCCCCGGTTGGTCCATGCCCTGCCAGGCAGTGTGCCATGCTGCCTAGTCTTGTGGATCACAATTGCTTCAGTGACTGCTGAGCCCACAGAGCTGTCCCCAGAGCTCACCCGCACACATATGTCCTCACACCAGAGCAGGGCTGCGCACCCCCAAGGTAGGTGTATGCACGATGGGGAACCCAGGCACTGGCCAGAAAATGAAAGGGTACATCTTCCCTCCAAGGAAAGCTGTACGTGTACGTGTGTGTGGTTCGTGTGAACGTGTGCACCTGCATGTGTACGGTTTGTGTGGCCAAATCTGAGACATCTGTGGAGACATGCACTGCCTTGGTGGCCGACGTAGCTGGGTGGAGCTCCAGGTGCTCCACCAGTCCTCTCTGCAAATGAAGAGGCCACACCGCCGCACCCCTTCCTTTTTCCTCCAGCCCTTCCCCAGCTCCATATGTGCTACTGGTGCACTCCCTGCTCTTCTCTGGTCCCCCAGCCTGGCAGATGTGGACCCTCCTGTCCATCCTCTTCTGGGACTCCTGGGCTCTCCTGTGACCCCTCAGCCAGGTCCCTCCTGCACGCTGGTTGGTTCCCACCCATCTTCAGGCCCTCTCTGTCTTCACTTGTGCCACATACCCACTGCCAGGATGCAGGGCCCCTTCTTGGGGTCCTCACCATCTGCAGATTATGCCACAGTAATTCACCTGTCTCTAGACAGGTTGGCCCCTGAGAGTCCCTGGCACACAGGACATATCTTTCAGGACATTTGAAGCAGCTGCTCAAAGGGTCAGCACACTTCTAAGCTCTCTGCAAACATTTTACAAAGACAGGGACTGCAAAGAAGCCAGATTTCTCTTAATGACAACATGCTGTTGGGAAGAAAATAAGGAAGAGATCATTTCTAAGCTACACACAATGGTGACTGTCTGCTTAAACCTTCTGTAAGATTCATCAAACCCCTAATCCTCTCCCAGGGTGACCATTAGGCCCCAGACCAAAATTTGATCTTCTGGGTGAGGCTCTGAGGCTTATTAAAATAAATCGGGAGTTTGCCAGAGAATTTTCTCTGATCTGCCATTTATTCCCCTAGGGAGTAGTCACTTACACAGCCACTAGATTTTGGGTCCAGCCCAGAGCTGGGGTGATTTTCCTCCCTGCAGCTTCAGGCTATTCTTCCTGTGTTTGTTCCAGCTATGGGAGTCAAGGGCAGGGACTTGGAGTTGGTCTGCAGCCAAATGAGGCTGGGTGAATGAAAAGTAAATGTTCCATACAGCACCTGGGGTGGCCATGGCTCCCACTGGACCTGGTATGTGTTGGTCGTGGGGGCCTGGATGGCTCTCATGGGGATCAGCTCTGCTCTGGTGAGAGATGAGATGAAGTCTAAATTAGAAAGCCCCCTTCCCAACCTCCTATCCACCCAACCAGCAACAGGACAAACACACAAGCAAAGCGAAGCAAAGCAGGATAGTATGGGCTCTTTATTTGGGGGAGGGTCTTTAACTATATATGCATGATGCAGTCAAACTTGGAACCAGCATGGAAGGTGAGGCGGGAGTACAGGGCTACCACAAGAGTGGAGGTGTCATTTCTGCTTCCAGGGAAAAACCAGTTGCTTCACAAGCGTTCTGTTTCTGCCTGGGCCAGAACTGCCATCCTTACAAGACCCTGGTAGGGGCATGTGACACGGAACATGTTCACCGGAGGCCAGGGGAAAGAAGAGCAGTCAGTCTATCCTTATCTTCTTGTGTGACCTTGGGAAATGCGTCTTGTTTTACAAAGCAGTTACTGCATGTATTTAAAGTATACAAAACAATGATTTTTGTGCACACACAGATGTTGGCTACTGCAGCCCAGCAAATGAATGTTTCTATCATCTCATTTTCCTATTTGCTTTCTTTGTGTATCAAGAGCATCTAAAACTTTCTCTTCGGCCAAAGTCCTGATCACGGCCTGGCAGTAGGCAGAGCCCGCATGCCGCACGGCGGCTCTCAAGGACTGCTCACCCTCCACACCTGCCGTGTTGCTTCCTCAGCCTCAGTCGCCAAGTTCCCTCCTACAACCCAGTGGCCACCGTCTGTGCTGTGACACGACTTCTCTCCACATGTGAGAGATCACACACTGCCTCGTTCTGCCTGGCTCCTTTTGGTCACAAGCCATCTTCCACGCTGGTCTGCACAATGGCCAGTCGGCAGCATCCTTGTGCAGGGCGGAGTAGCATCTTGCTGTGTGGGAAGCGCGCCTTCTCTGTCCTGTGGATGGATGCAAGTTGCTCCCCCACCTTGGCATTGGGCTCTGCAGGCCTGGGGTGCAGATGTTGGTGAGGCACTGTGCTCCTTACCCTGGGAACACCGCTGGAAGTCTGCTCTGCTGTTGGACCCTTTGAATGTCACGTGGAGTGGGCAGTGGCCTTGCCACTATATACAGCCATTTCCTGGAGGAGGCACAGGTATAGACAGGCGCAGCCAGTCACAGGCCAGAGGATAGCTGGAAAAATTGGTCGTTTGCTTCTGCCCATCTCAGCGCCAGCTGACACAACACGTGCCTCCAGCTCTGGCCTCTGCTGAAAAGTGATGATGAACTCTGTGCTGAACACTGTAGGGTACTGGCCCTGCTCCCACCCCCATTTCTCCTGTGCCCATCTCTACACCGACATGCAGAAAGCAACGCACTCACGCTTGCTCTCCTCAATAGCTCAAGTAAGATATTTCCAGCCAAAGGGACATATGGAGACATTTGCTGAGGGATCTGGGAGAGCTTTTGCTGTCCTTTTATTAGCAATTAGTGCTCAGACTCCACCATCCTCCCTCCTCCAACTATTGATGCAATGTCTGAAGTCACAGCTGCTCTCTTGCAACCAGGAGGCAACAAATGTAAGAGCCACAGGCCAACAAGCTAACAGTGATAGAAAAAAAACCTGGGTC